GTCGGTCCTTGGACCGCTCCTGTGGAATCTCGGATACGACTGGGTGCTAAGGGGGGTTCTGCTTGCCGGGTTAAATGTTATATGTTATGCAGATGACACTTTGATCACGGCAAGGGGAAAAACTCTTCAAGAGGCCAGGCGCTTGGCCAGGGTGGGTGCACATCTGGTGATAGGGCGTATCAGACATATAGGTCTAAGGGTCGCGGTAAACAAAACCGAGGTGATTCTGTTTCATGGTCGGGGGAGAAAGCCGCCCGAGGGGACGTTTGTTGTGGTGGACGAGTTGAGGGTCCCACTAGAAAAACAAATGAAATACCTAGGGTTGATATTGGACGGCAAATGGACGTTCCAGGAACACTTTCGGCAACTTGCGCCCAGATTGGTCAACACGGCGGTGGCACTAAATAAGCTAATGCGAAATATAGGTGGTCCCAATAATGCTTGCCGAAGGCTATATATGGGAGTGATAAGATGTATGGCTCTGTACGGGGCACCCGTCTGGGCGGTGGGTTTAAATAGGGAGTGTAGAGGTCTTCTCCATAAACCCCAGAGGGTGATAACGATAAGAGCCATACGAGGGTACAGGACCATCTCATGGGCGGCGGCATGTGCGATCGCTGGCACGCCACCGTGGCACCTGGACGCCCTAGTGCTTGCTGAGGTGCACCGAGGCAAGGTGGAGGCAAGGGAGCGCGGGGAAAGACCAGCGCCTGAGGAGCTTGCGCTGATACGGCGCGAGGCAAATGAGCGCCTGCTGCAGATGTGGCTGCAGCAGATCGAGACGTCTACGTCTGGGGTTAAAACGCTACAAGCACTACAACCAGTGCTTGAGCATTGGATGGATAGAGGTTGGGGGTCGCTGACCTTTCGGCTAGTGCAGGTACTTTCAGGACACGGGTGTTTCGGGAAGTATCTGCATCGGATCCAGAGAGAGGCGACCGAGTCGTGCCATGAGTGCGGGGCTGCTGTGGACACTGCTGGGCATACCCTAGAGGAATGTCCAGCGTGGTCGGAGCAGCGTCGTACTCTGGTGGCGACGGTGGGGGGGGGGATCTCTCCCTGCCCAGCATAGTAAGAGCTATGCTGAGCAGTGACAGGTCTCGACTTGGGAGGTCCGAGCTCTGCATTGCACAGGCCTCTGTATGTAGGTGGGGATGCCCTCGATGCCTCGGGGCATCCCCAAGTTGGGTGGGTCCGTTCGACTCGGACACTCACTGGTGGGGCTGTGGATGTATCCGAAAGGGTTCCCATGGCCTCACACAGTGCCGCTGCCTCGTCTGGGGGGGTGCCGAATGATGGTGGGCCCCGGCCCATCGGTGAGGTGAGGGGCATCGTCAGGTTTTTAGTGGGTAGGGCCCCCTTTGGCTGAACGGGTGGACGAGAGAAGGAGGGGAGGAGTCCCACATAACCAAACCGCACTCCCAGAGCGGTGAGGTATGCGTAACGCATTTTCCTGACGAAAAAAAAAAAAAAAAAGATAGTGTGCCGCAAGCGCTCGTAAGCAGCGCGGACTGCTTAACGGCTTTTCCGTTTCGCACCCGTGAGACTTGCGAGAGGCTAGGTGCGAGGTCCGTTCGTTGGTGTGCCCCTTAAGGGCGCCAACGTCTGTAAATAGAGTTTTTGCCTGCGTAATAAAAAAAAAAGGTAAGTAAATTTATAAGAAGACTATTTGAAAAGTCTATAGAGGTAGGGACAAGTCCAAAATTCAACAAATTACTTCAATTTGATTTTAACGGTACAAGTCCAAACTGAACTGCAGACCGCAATCCGCAGCTTTCTATGAATATCTATGAAATTGATTCCGAGCGCGGCGACATTACGGTCCGCAGCCGCGGCGCGCAGACTGCGGCTGCGGCGTGCAGCGAACGCAGACTGCAGTTCGAGTGGTGTAGCGACCGCAGAAAGGTCACACGTATTTAAAAAAATGACGTCTTTTTCGGATGATGATGAAGAGAAGTTAATTAACTTTGTTTCTGGTCATCCAGTCCTTTACGACACATCCGATCTAAAATACCGCAATAATTTGATCAATGATAATGTGTGGAGAGCAATAGGAAAGAACTTGAATAAAAATGGTTAGTACCTACCTAAATGGGTGAATATACGCTATTTGAACTCCAATCGTCCATAGACAAACTAATTATATTATTGTTTCTGTATGCTTAAACAATAAAGAATGTGGTCTTTTATTTGGCCCACATAGTTCCTCTTCTGACAAAAGACACATTAGTTAATTATCGGTAACGTTGTCCGACATTTTGTCTCGCACGAAGGTATTGGAGTGACTGAGGCATGGTTCTAATCATTGTGCAGCCGCGGCATGCCGCCGTGCTCGGAATAAAAACTGCAGCCCATTGCAGAATTGTACCTTGAGGGTGAGAGGAGCAGTATCACTTTTTCACTAACTACCGGAAATATTGTAAAGCTAAATTAAAAAACTTCAAAAAAAAGGGAGTTGGGGTCTTAATACAACTTTTTTAACAAAAATAAAACCGACTTCAAAAAACATAAACCAAATTTAAGAAATAATTTCTTATCCTTCCCCTCTAGCATGACCACCGAAACGGGATATGATATAAAGCGATATATCGACATTAACTGTCAGACTACTGTAGTCTTGACAGTTAATGCCGGTATATCTCTTTATCATATCCCGTTTCGGTGGTCATGCTAGAGGGGCTGAACCAAGTTTAGAGAAAAAATATTTTTAAAGTTACATAATTTATTTGGAGTCGCTGCCATGCCAACAAACATAATAAATCTGACTTGCCGCTCACTTCTTTGGTTATCTGGCTTCGACTGTTAATTTTTGTTCTACTACACATATAACAAACTCATTTTTGCAATTGTTAAACAGGTATGCAAAATAATATGCAGCCACCCGCGACATCGTCTTTTGTATTTTAGATTTTTAACTGTAGATTTTTGGGAATCCCACGGAAGGAACCTAACATTTTTCTGGGATAAAAAGTATTCTTCTTCTCAATCCAGGTCATAAGCTGTATGCATACCATATTTTATTAAAATCTGTTCAGTAGTTTTTGCGTGATTGAGTTACAAACATACAAACTTTCACATTTATAATATTAAGTAGATCAAATCTTTTGGTTTATTATTTTAAAAAAGTTTATAAGGAATGAATATATTTGCCACCTTTAATCCAGATGGGTTCTATCCAAATCAGTGGCTTTACTAACTTGGCAGAACGACCTAAACTGTTGTTGTTCAAGCATTTGCATGTGTTTAGTGCGTTACTTTAGCAAGAGGATTGTCAGTGGATTAAACAATTGCATAGGGATGGTGATTCTCTCCGAAAAAGATCGATTTGAATTGTGACCTAATGAATCGATCCACAGAAAATCGAGGCCAATAAGATCGACTAAGTCGATTCGACTTCTGAAAAATCGATCTTTATTTAAAGATTTTGTTTATAATATAATATAAATCTATTTTCTTAAAAACAAGATACAAAATATAATTTAACGATCTCTTATCAGTAAAATGAGGTAATTCGAAGAAAATTTTTTTTTCAAAGATCACAAACAAACTTAACTGTTTTATTAAAGAGGGGCGAAGGAATCCAAACATTCAGCTATCTCGCGAGTTTTAGAATAGTTAACCTTTTAACCGGCAGCACTTTTATAATACGGGTACATTCATGGATTGTAAATACTTTTTTGGTTTATACCAAAAAATTAAATAAAATCGAATGTCGATTTTCAAAGGTGAAATATCGATTCACTGAATCGATATTTCATCTTTAATAGTGCTGTGAAAATTTCAACTATCTAGCTATCATGGTTCATGAGTTTAGTAATCAGTGGAGTTTTAGTAATAGGGTCCCCGTTTTTAGCCTTTGGGTACGGAACCATAAAACTGATACATTGGCTAGATCTGAAATTAAATAAATTAAGATTGAAACTTTTCATTAATAAACAGTCACACTTACTTAAAGCACCTAAGCTAAAAAAGACAAAGTTATAATCAGATTAAATTATGTTCGTATTAATCTAGGTACCTTATGTTCAGGTAATTTATATGTATGAGTCAAAAAATTGCAGCTCTTCCCCGGTATAAAACTCGTCATATTATACCTAATTGGAGCAATATTTTCGTTGTAATGGTTTGCGTGCAAGTTTCCCCATACTGCCAAGGTCGTTGGGAAAATAAAGCATACCATGCGTAATAACTAACACGAGTCAAAATAACTCTGAAGGTCTAATATTTATAAGTATGGTAAGTAGGTTCATACATATATTAATAATTCATGTTTTTACATAATTATTATGTATTAACATGTACGTAGGTACTTATTAACTGAGTGAAATGAATAGAAAAATCCCAAAACAGAGAACAATGGCATAAAAGCGAGGACTACACCAAAGTGGTAGAAGTGGAAGTGGTAAGATAAAGAAAGGAAAGAAGGTTTTATTAGTAGGTGTTTCTCGATATATCTTTATTACATCTGAAGTTTGAAACTCCAGAACAGTTTGCAGTTTACTAAAAGTGCCCAAAGAAACTTTGCTCCGAAAAATGTCGCATCTTTTATGCAAGGCATTGGATTGAAAAGTTACTGATATAGGTACCTAGTTACTCTGAGTTTCTTTTAAAAAAACCTACAAAAGTTTTTCATACGTATACTAGAGAATGATAATTGAATTAATTTATTGATAAAGTTGATGTTTGCAATAGCAATACAATAAGACAAATCGTCACTTTATAAACTATTAAAGAAAAATGACAACTTTACATACATTTGGAGACCAGTCACTATGATTTTTTCTATGATGCTAAATATTGACTATAACGGTTGTTAATTTATTATTATTTTCTGAAGCAATGCTGTTAATTTTATTTGATTTGGCATCAGGAAAAGACGTTACTTTATTTTTTATTGTCGCTGATGCTGAATTGTCATACCTTAACTAAAGCTAAACTGTTTTAATTTATAACTAATGCTGAATAGTCTTACCTCAACCACTAATGATCAACAGTCTTACCTTAACGACCTTGTCGTCCAGCAGCCACTGGAGCGCCGTATTGGAGGCGTTGGCGAGGGCGGCCAGCGCGGCCCGCTCCCACCCCACCTGCTCCCAGTGGTCTGTCATGATGGCAGCGCACAGCATCGCTGTCGAACAGCTGCAAGGAAACGTTGTCAATCAAACTTTGAGCCAGCAACTAGAACTTTTCCAGGCAGGAAGATACATAACAAAGCCAAATAGGTATAAAGAGGAGAGACTCCAATTTGTTGTATTCAAACAGGAAAAGCAATGATACTATACCGAAGAGGTGTAAAAAGTCACAAAATGTTGCCATACTACTTTAAAGTGTATCCTAACTAAAACTGCTAATGGAAAGTAATTGGAAAGCTTGTTAGGCTTTCACAACTACTAAATCGTTTATGCTGAATTTTTGGTATGGTATATTTATATGGAGACGATTATCGGCTACTTTCTCTCGTAAAGGATGAAATGGGAGTTAAAATTTCGTATGGGGAGCGATGCTCGGTGTTTGCCTACGCGATAAAATCAAAAATAGGAGAACTAAAGTTGCGAAAAGACTCTTGAATGGCGACCGCGCACCGGATGACACTCGGTGGGCAGGCCCCCCCACTAGGTGGACCGACGATCTTGTGAAGGTCGCGGGAAACTGCTGGATGCGAGAGGCGCAGGACCGATCAGTGTCGAGATCCTTGGGGGAGGCCTATGCTCAGCAGTGGGCTTCGTACGGCTGATATGATGATGGAAAACCAATAAAACCACGGAGACAAGATCGTAGGCACCTACTAGTTATTTATTATAGTAACTGCGCTTGATACGTAATGTACTGAGAAAGGTAAACATATTTAGGTACTTTTAAATTTTATCCTTACAAATGTGATCTTGTCTTGTCTGTACATTTGTTTGGTATCTAAACAGAAATTACGTAGGTATGTAGTATTGAATTCTGCGAGTTACTCATACTAAAATTTGCTGTACTAATTGGACTAAACATAACTAGCTAAACCTAGGTAATTTGGGTATGAAGCACGTAACACTATTGTGGTAAGCCTATTGAAGTTATACACAATTATAAATAGCCAAACTAATATTCCAAATTAACCAAGTACAACTCGAATAATAAAGGTTTGTATATCAGAAACTATTAATTTCAAACCCATTAACTAATCGTAGGTATCCATTTATCGTTTCAGACGCCAAAAGTAAAAGCCTTTATGCTGAGCTATTGTCGAATACAAATATTTTGTCATAGCACACGGAGGCTTTATTCCCGAAACAGTGTTTTGTGCTATAGTGGTTTTTAAACAAAAGAAAACAACGTGTATCAAACGCAGCCCCGAGTCTGTTAGACATGACAAACTAAAAGCACAAAAAGCTTGTTTTATGTTGTAGCAACATAAAAGGATTATTGTGTTATATCGCAGTTTCCTTTATTCTATTTAGAGCATATTTGGTAGTAGGAACTTCTCCACTAAGCTGTTGATTCGGAATGGGCAAGAATATTTGAGAAGTCGTGTCTTAGTCATCGAATTTCGTAGTCTTTTGCCTGATTACCATAATGTTTTCAGGAAAGTTTTCTATATTGACGTAGATTTTATATATTACGAAGTTGGTTCGGAACATATGAGTTTTGTCTTCGCGCTTGTCATATTAAGTTAAAATCGACGTGTCTGCTGCGGGAAAATACTTAGGTACCTACTTATTGATTTACTAATATCCTTGACTTTATGTAGGTAAGTTACGCAAGTTATGTTTGTTTTTGCATACGATTTCGCCATATTTAAGTGTGATTAAAGAAGTTTTTTTTTCACATTCTGCCTATTCTACCAAGTACCGAATAAATTACACAGGAGAAAATATGAGTTTTCCATAATAATAATGTAGAATAATTGTATAAATGTATGTCGATTATGTTGGATTAAAAGCACGCGAGATATAATTGCGTAAAAACCAATGTTCAACCCCAGTCACGTAACTTAATACATAAAATTTTGTATGTTCAACACAACAACATATCAAATTACCACAAAACGTTCAGCTTAAAAAATCATTTTGAGAAATATCTCACTTTTGATTTGTAGAACTTGGCCAGCTTTAATACATTTTTATTTAAAATCTGAATGATTTGCTCTACTGCTATCTGCTTACTAAGGAAAATTTTTGCTACAAAAAAATTAGCTGCTTAGTTATGTAAGGTAAGTTATATTATGCAAGTAAAGCGTCAGGGTGTCAGTAGTACAGTCATTATCTTCATCAGCCTATTAGTGTCACCACTACTGGGGCACAGGCTTTCCCTATGGATGGAATAGGGAGATTGGGACAGCAGATGCAGCCAAGACAAACGGCTTAACGTGCCTTCCGAAGCACGGAAGAGCTCGGGCTAATAAGTTTTAGGTCACCCATCCAATGACCATTGCGAATGTTGCTTAACTTTTACGACGGCTGGCAGAACGGGCTTATTACCTGTGCTATCGAGCTCCTCAGTAGCACAATAGCAAATTTCCCAATAGCGAAGGACTTTGGTTTGATTTTAACCTAATACCTTAGCCGTATTGATACACATGTTTTTAGTCAAAAAGTTACCAAGTTAAGTAATTCAATTCAAAAATCATTTATTCAGTTTAGGCTTTTCAAGCATATGTTGAAGTCGAAAACTACGACATCGGTTCGCAAAACTACTGCGTACTACCTTGTACTGAGAAGAACCGACAAGAAACACAGCAAGGGCTGCTTTTTTTTCCTGTTTTATACAGTGTCGTCAAATTAAAAGTTGACATCAAACTTGCAAATATGTGTTGAGGTCAACTTCCTTCACATAATGTCAAATAGGTAACAATAGACAATTAACGAATTTACAAACAATAGGTGTAAAGAAAAGTCTAAAAATAGCAAGAAAAAATCTTCAAAACAAATTGAACAAGTAAATGAAAAGGATTAAGTGCAAGGTGCTCTTCAAAACTCTTTCTAAGGCACTTAGTTTTAATATAATTTTTGAAATATTATCTACAGGTAAAATTACAACTAGGCCGTTTTATCATTCAAATATTGTTTTACAGTATAATATCCTTTCTTAAGTAAGCATTTCTTAATGTGTATTTAAATTTATGAAGAGGCAAATCAAGAATATCGTTAGGAATCTTATTATAGAAATGTACACCTTGACCCATAAATGATTTAAGAACTTTCTGTAACCTGTAAGTTGGTATCTTGAGTTTTTTATTCTTTGTATTAAAAGAATGTACGTCACTGTGTTTGAGATAATAGTTAATATTGCTTCTAACAAAAAGTATACAATTATAAATGATTTGTAAAGCAACAGTCAAAATCCAGATTTCTTTAAATTTTTCTCTAAGAGTAATCTAGAACTTAGTTGATAAGTATGCATTATAGCTCTTTTTTGCAAGATAAATACAGTTTCCAATATCGGCTGCTGTTCCCCAGAGTATATTTCTATAGGATACAATACTATACAAGTAACTAAAGTATACAGTTCTAGCAGTAGTTGTCTTATTTTACGTATGGAATAGGCTGCTGAACTAAGTTTACCAGCTAGCAGAGAAATATGTACATTGTACAATGTAAGAACTTGACCTGTTGATGTAGGTACTATGTAGGCGTATATAATCATCCCTTACTATAAAAGCCTAGCACGTACATAATAACATGTGAGTACCGCGCCCATGCTGGTACTCGTAATAACAGTTTTTGGGGACGTGTCATTACTGGTGATTTATGTATGGCATATAAATGCGTGTCGATAACATAATAAATACATGGTGTGCGTCCATAAAAAATGGACAAGGCAATAAAGTAACACAAAATCGTTGATAACTATTTGTGTTGTTACATGAGGTTATGATTATGAGGAAAAACGCCTGATTTTCTTTATATTTTGTTGTAAATAATTATTTTAATAAACCTCACTTCAAGTTAAAATGATTATAAAACTCATTTTTCTACATAAGGTAGATGTTATTACTAAGTAGGATGCTGCACGAGCTCTTACCTAAAATATGTAAACCTTTTTTAGGCGAGGAGAAATGTTTTATTATTATAATATTTTATGGGAGTTCGACGTGAAGCTCTACGTTCTGTCAAGACCCTTTTTTTATCAACGCTTACAATCGTGTCAAGTTGAAATTAATTGCTAAGATCTACGCGGCACTTAATGAAGCTGTTAAAATAAGGTTTTAAGCCAACGTCATATTTGATTGTGGTCATTTATAATACTAAAAGCATTTATAATACTAAAAATCCATATTTAAAGAGTAGATAACTCAAATTTTCTGGTGCCTACATACATTCGGCAAAATCTAAACACCGTAATATAGAGGTTAATATATGTAACGGGTGCACTCATCCGGGTCTTACGCCTCTTTTGGCATTCACTCGCGTGGCGGTTCATCAGGGCATAATTTATAAGCAGTCTTCGTCATGAAAATGTGTACTAAAAAAAAACGACGGGTTGCACTCCGGGAGTGCCGGCAGAAGTGAAAACGTGAACATTAACGTTGTGCATTTTTGATATTTTGGAATGGTTAGGGAATAATTTTTCACAAATTTCTTTAATTATCAGTATAAAAGTACTATCATTTATGTGGTAGAATACAATATATATTTATTGCGCTATCGTACACAAACATGACAATTTATATTACATTAAAAAGTTTATCTCAGAAGTTCTCATTTTCTAGCGACACCTATTGTAAAAAAAATGCATTTTCTTCGCAATAAAATATTACTATGTTTCGTCTAATGTACCTATTGAAATTCAACAACCTTTCCAATTTTATTGTTTTCGTCTTACGATCAGGACACGGTGTCATGACGAGAGTTTAACATTTTTTATACATTGCAAAAAAAAGTGTACAACGCCGCTAAAGAAGTTTTCACTTCAAAAGAGGTAAAACTAAAATCTGTTAAATAATAAGGCACGAGTTCTTTACGGAGAACCTAAGAAAGACTTCTGTCATCCAATTTAAGGTACCAGTCCAGAATATAAATGTTTTTCATTGGTATTAATGTGTATTATATGTTACACTATAATTTAATCACAGTCACGTAGTAAAAGAATAAGTTAATATTTTTAGTTACTGAAATTCGCAACATTTTCAAATCAACTACAAGTCATTGGAGACT